TTGGCTATGCAAACTATATCCTGATCTCAGGATGGCATTCTGAAGGCAGGCAGTCGGAAATACTGGCGTGGTCGATGGCTTCGGGGTGAGGTTGGAGTGCCGTCACATCGCCCATGAGAGACGCCAACCGTCTCACCAATTATGTTCTTTTGTTTAACCTTCAAAACCTCGTGTGGTCGGCTGCCTTTGACTACATATAAAAAATTCGAAATTTTCGCAGCAGAATGGCTGAATGGTAAAAGACCTCGCGTGGTGATCAGGCGAACCGAGCTGGGAAGAAGTCTCATTTCAACAAGCCTCATTTCATTATTCAGAGATGAAGGAAGATTGATCTTGGGTCCTCCGTGCCACAAGAGGGAGTAACCTGCTCACCGCCAGAGTCCACCTATGAGCACAGACCTGCAGGCAACACTTTTTGCTCTTCTTCCTGTTATTCGCAAGGTGTTGAAGTCAAACTTTGGGCCAGCCTGAAAAGTAGGAGACATTTACACTTGTTCAATGCACCATCATGACTTCTTTTTTGACTTGTTTTCTTTTTCTCCCCCAGGCAGCAGTAAACATGATCGGCTTCCTGCTCTCGAAAGACCCAACACAGAGTCTATCTCGCTGGTAAGCTTCATGCCCAACACATCTTTGTCTGCACAAGAAATTGACTTGCGTGTAACTCACGGATGCCTTTCCTCTCAGGTCAACACACCTGTCCCACATTCTTCTCAAGAGCTGACCACTTCGCCGCCCAGCAACAAGCAGACTGCCATCCAACTTGCAACCTTTTCTTCTGCTTTTGTGATTGACTACTCTGCAAAAGAAATAAAGCTTGATTACAAAGAACACTTCAACTCAACTTCATTTTTAAACACATCACCACAATCTAACTAAACAAACAATCTAAAAAAAAACAAAACAAAAAAAAAAAACAAAACAAAACAAATTTTAAACAAAATTTTCAGTTTTTTTTCTTAACTTTTTTCTGAATTTTTTTCAAAAATTTTTTTCTAAAAATGTTTTTTTCTGGATTTTTTTTTCCCCAGGCAGAAAAATCCAGCAAAGTGGGTGTGGCTGGAATGATGGCTGATGATTCGCTGATAGCTGTGAAAGTGGGTGGAGCATGACGATAACATGCTTACATGCGGTGCTTGGTGGAAAGGGGGAGTGGTTATGCAAATTAGGCGTCCTCTGATTGGTGGACTCTTTGGGGCGTAGACATGCAAATTTTGAGCAAGCTGATTGGTCAGAACTTGGAAAGTGGGTATGTTTATGCAAATTAGGGTCAGGATTATGCAAATAAGGGGCCTCGCCGCGATTGGTGGATATCAAATTGGGTGTGGTTGCAGCACTTTTTCAAAGTCCCACTTGAGTCTTGAGCTCAGACTTGCACTTAGGTCACATCAGACAGTCTTTTCACTGTTCCCGTCGGTTTCACATGACCCAAAAGCTCGATTCCTGGAGTTTCGAGTCATGTGGAGACCAACGGGAACAGTGAAAAGACTGTCTGATGTGAC